TACAGTTGGGGGGAATGTTAAATAAATATCCTTATCAGCCTGGAGTAGGGGGTTGTACTAGCAATTCTCTAGGCTGTACTGACATCTGGTGGCAGTTTATATATTTGTAAAGTATTTGAAATACTTTTCATTCAAAGATGGGCCAGTTAACTCCCTGTCTAGAATATGCCTGCTTATGTATTTTGGGCTGTTCCTCTTTATTTTGTGGCTTGTGTGTGGTGGCTGTTCTTTTCCCACCGTCTTGCTTCTGACTCTCAGAGGCAAAAAGTTTAAAATTGTTGAAACTAATCTTTCTTTCACCTAGTTTAAGTATTGACTTTCTTTTCAGATTGTTTTTGTGAATCTTATAGCAGTTATATGGAAAAGGAAACTTTTTTTTTCCTTTTCCTTCAAATAGTTGCAGGGCTCATGAAGAAAATGAATGGAATAGTTTTCTTTCTTTGAAGCTGAAAGGAGAGCTGAAGGAGAGCCTTGAGATCTACCTCAATTTTTAGGTCTTCCCTATCAGACAGAGTCTCCAGGGCTCCTCTTTACATACCTGTATATAAAAATACATGTTTCTGAAGTGGAACATGTTTAAGATGGGTAAAAAACAGAAATCACTGTGATGGACTTGAAGTAATCTTAGAAACATGCCAGTTTTTTTGGGTGGGTTTTTTTTTGTTTGGGTTGTTTTTTTGGTTTTTGGGGTTTTTTGGGGGTTTTTTGTTTGTTTGTTTGTTTTTTGTGTTTTTGGGTTTTTTTTTGTTTTTGTTTTTTTTTTTTTTTTTTTTGAGAAAGCTGTTAGCAAATTATTGTTACCAGGATTAAAAGGTATTCACTGAAACTGTGTGGCCTTCCAGGAACAGGCAGGTGAGAAAGAAATCTTGGTAATTTTGACAGAAATTGTTCCTCATGTAGGAGAACAGCAGTAGTTAGAGGTTTATGTAGTTTTTGTGGTTACCACACAGAGATGGAGACATAGGAAGAGAATTCCAGCAGACTCTAGCTAAGCTCTAAGGATGTCTGACACTGTGACTGCTCCTTCCCAAGTCCAAATATAAATTCTTTCTTCAAACTGACACAGCTATTACGCTGTGTACTAGCTGCTTCTTGAGGGGTGGCTGATCAGTGAAAGAGGTAAGTTGGTAATATCTCCAAATATAAAGACTACACAGTCACCAGAATTCCACCATGCAAAGAACGAAGAGTTTTAAATAGCTTGCAATCTTCCCTGAGCCTGCTCCTTATTAAGTTGTCTGTATTCAGTAGGGGGATTCAGCACAAATATTTTGCCCCTCAAGTGGATCACTGCAGGTGGGTCAGGTAAGCCACCATATAGGCAGGTTAGCCTTCCCTGTGTACATTATGGATTTTGAGGAAGGTTTTGAGACAGTTTTGAATTTTTATAAAAGCCATTGTAAGAGGCCTTCCTACATAAATAGTGTGTCATTAGTTTTGCTAATGGCATAATATTTATAATGTTCAGGGATATTTGACCCCATTTTAATGTGTGCTTTATGCAGAGAAGAATGATTAGCTTTTTTAGAGGGCCACAAGTACACAGAAGGTGGCATAAAGTCAGCTCATCTTACAAGCCTGTAAGGAAGTTAAACCTTACACTATATATAATTTTCTCCCTGTTTGCAGACAGAAATAATTTTTATTTATTTTATGGTCCTCTGCTGCTGGGTGATGTAATTGAGTGGTTCAGGCTGTAGCAAGTATTCTCTAAAGTGAGCAGTGAGTAATTTGTGCATATTGGCACCCAACTTACTGTCATTACCAGAAATTAAACATTTAACTTGCTACAAAGGGAAGAGAATATGTTTTCTTTTCACTGCTTCCCTTTTGTGCTTAGTTGTAAAATGAAAACAAATTAATGACAACAGTTTCTTTATAGTGTGGCATTTACTGGGCAACTCACAGTCTTTTCTTTCCAGGTGATGGCAGGGCAGTGCTTTAGGTTTGAGTTGTTGTTGTACTGCATTCTTTCAGCATCTGCTTCTAAAGTAACTGTCTGTACTACATTTTACAATCATGTCCCTCAGGTGTAAGAGAGTGAAGCCAAGGGATGGAGAGCAGGTTTTAGGATCAGGTAAATAACTCTTTCACTAACGCTTTGCCTCTTGGAGATCTGGGGGAGAAAGCTTTTTTTGTAATACTTAATCCTTCCTTTTGAGATAGCTTTGCTGAGACCATGATCACTTGCGTGGCTATCGGTGCAGGTACTGCCTTCCCTTGGGTCCTTCAGGGGAAGGATTTTAGCCTAGCTTTGTGCAAGGCTTGCTGGCAAATCAGCAGCTGTATTTCTTAGACACCTGCAGAAGGACATGCTTTGCAGTGGAAGCTGTGGCAGGCAGGTTGCTGTATCTGGGTGCCTAGACACAGATAAGGAACTGTGCCCAGTACGTGGTAGGCATCTCTCTTGACAGGAGGGTATGATATATGTAGCTTCTTATGCTCCCCAAGTACATCACATTAGATGCATCTTTGACTACATAAATATTAGTAAAAAGGGAGCATCTGTAACAATTTGGAAATCAAAGGCAGTCAATAGAAAAGTGGTAGGAATACAGTGGACCTATGTTTAAAGTCTTCATTTAATTGCTGTCATAGTCTTCTGTCATTTGTTTTAAATGTAGGCCCTTTAGAATAGGAATTACTGTGTCGAGTATAAATGAAGTTCTTGCCAGAAGATTTCCTTAAATTGTTTGAAGTTATCTGGTGCACCTTTCAGAGGAACACCTGAAATATATATGCAAAACCGACTTTTAAAGTACTAAGTCACTTGTCTTGTTCATTTAAATGCTAAAGCTGAAGAATATATAATAAGTCACAAAAGTATTTGGATTCCATGAGACCATAATATGTTACTTAGTTTTTATTCTGATTTTTCTTGTTCTGAAGCTCCAGATTCTTTTTGCTTCACGTGTTTTGAGTATTTCCTTATCACTGCATCATTTGCCTTGACAAGTTTTCTTTTCTGTGAGCTGATAGTATGTTTCCTGTTATAGCATTGGCTCTCACAATTTCTTAGGTATGAGGCCTACAGCTCCAGTAATTCATAGGCTTATTTTGAAAGCAGACTTTTTTTTCTGCTATAGACAGTTTGGGTGTTTTTTTCCTTCTGCTTACTTTATAGCAAATAAAATATCTTTTTTTTTTCTGAACTTATATAGTTGTGTCGTTTTTTTTTTTGTATTGGAGGCATACTAGTTTATTAGGAAAGGGGTAATTTTTTTGTTCCATAGAAATCAACATAGCCCTTACAGGATCAAAATAGGGTCTGTTAGCAAAAGAAATATCAGACACGTGTCAACTAAAGATTGAGTGTTCTTTGGAAAATTCCATCAGAGACTACCACAATATTATTTTTCAGCTTTCTTTTGTAAAGAGCTGAAGTGCCTTCTGGAAATCATACTTAATCTGCAAAACCTTGAATGAGAAATGTAAGGTGTCTTGCAGCACTTCATGTGGGATTTCAAAACTGGCTCTGCCTTGAGGAAGACCTGGGACTAGATTATCTACTGCGATGTGTACACCTGGATTATTCTGTGATCTTCTAATTTTCCTTGTTCTGAGAGAGCAGCTCCATGATTTTGTTTTTGCACTTTATGCTTTTGTTTCTACTGCTGGGTTCATTGTTGAGCCAATGCCAAGCTGTTTCTTGCAGGGCTACCTGACAATCTGATTGGTGTGGCTGCTTGATTGAAGATAGGGATTTTCCTCTTCTATTGTATGCCCTAGAGAGACCCCACGGACCCCACTGACATGTAAAATTGGTGAAGTTAGGAAAATTGCATCTTCTTAGTGCAGAACTAGCATAGGTTGTTTAACTGCTGACCAGAGAGATGATTTATTGAGGACACACAGCTCAAGAAAGAAAACTTTTAATTCTTACAACTTGTGCTGCCTTTGCCCTTGCAGTCTGTATTCTTATATAGCAGACTAGAAGGTAAAGATGATCTGTGCCTTCAGATCTATTTCAACTTTTGAGCCTCCTGCACATCTCTAGGCCTCCTTATGAATGGTCAAGCAATGGACAATTACACAGTCCCCTTCTTTCCCCTCTTGCTGCTGCTGTGTTTCCTGACAAATTGATTCCCTCCAGGCACTGGCTTTTAGATATCTATCCTGATTTTTAGAAGCACTGGAATGATATGTAGATAATGGTTGAGGAGAAAACAATATAGTTACTTTGGTCCAAATGAAACATACTTCATGCCCACAGAGCAGCTGTTTCCTCAGAAAGCTGGCCAATATACTGTGCTATAAATGGTGTTCATATGATGATGAGTACTGTACTGGTATTGGGGCAACCCTTCTATGGGTTGTGCACTCAGCTAAAGCTCCTCTACCTTTTCAATAGCAGATTCACATTTTTTAAAGTACATTGTTGTGCTTCTGTAACACAATTCAGGTCCCTCATCACTTGAATATTTTTTTGCACATGCTTTGTTTTTTAAAGCAAGAGCTATTAATAATCTTGTCCCAAAATTTTTCTTATGTTGTACTTAAACCTGTTTAAATGGAATCTTTTTCTCATCTGAGGATTTTGACTTTTGTTCTACATGAGAATTTTTTTTTCTGATTTTTTAAATTTTTTTTTGTTTGAGTGATTTTCCTCTTAGAGGTGATGCCTTCAAGGAAACTGAATACTTAAAATGTTTCTGAGTGGAAAGTACAATGTCAAATGTACCTAGACTGCTGTTAACGGACACATGTTATTATTTAACCAAATTCTTCAATTTACCAAGCTACTATTCTAAAGGTATTTAAAAGTATTATTTTCCTCACAGCATTCAAAAGTGTCCCTGAACCGTCATTCCTCTGTTAATTAAAAATAAGCTAGATAGTGTAGGTATTCTGTGAGCCAGCACTCTAAATATCACTTTTAAATTTTGTTAAAAGCTTCCAATCCTTAGGAAATTACATGATGGCTCTTACTTGTAGAATGCAAAGACCATTTTTCTGCTATGTGTACCCATTAAAATGGTGAATTGTCTTGTTTTCTGCAGGCACAACTTCAGAACATGCAAGAATACCTTGGAGTGAACTGGCAGTAAGCCTTGCAGTACCACGGTGGCAATAATACTGGCTGTCCTCTGGAGATGCTGAAGCTCAGCCTTATTGTGAACTTCTTTCTTAGACCCTCCAACTTGTTCACGAAGGACTTAACACTGATTTGGATTCATATGGTCATGGGTATGGATTTTTTCCTCCCATTAATTGACATCTGCATGTTTCCAGCAGTCAGTGATGAAGTCAGTAATAGATCTTCTGGCATTCGGTGTGTTCTTGGGAGCTCTGAGTGACAGGTATTGTAAACATCCTACACTCTCAGCTGTGGAAACTAAGAAAGCTGGGAGAAGGCTGTTTACTCTCTCTGCCTTGGAAATCGTCTGGAGGACAAGGATGGAATATTATGTTGATTGTATTTCTGACAGCCTGTATTTCATACTTTATATTATGGTGTCAGTAAACAAATTATGTCATTACATCACATCATCAACGTCTTGTGTTCAGACCAAAGTCAGAAGGGCCTTATGATATGCTTCAGCTGTACTGGTGGCTGGAGGGAAACCTAAATAGTAGCAATACTGCGATACTTCCACCCCTAAGCAGTGATTAAAAAAGGCTTGTCACACTGTTTGTTTGTAGGTAGTGATACATGAAAGTTGCATTGTGAACATCCTCAAAGTGACGCATCAGTATTGTATTTAATCAAAATCGCCCTTAAATGGTTGGTACTTTTTTCTAAGATCTACTCAATTCTCGTTTTCTACCCAAAAGAGCTAGAAACAGAGGTTAGAAGACTAAAAGATTGTAGAGGAATTCAAATTTCAGTTCCTTTTCAAAGAAAATCAGAGGTTTCAGCATCAATTCCAACTCTAAAGTAAATTAGGGTACAAAGGTCTTATACCTTAATGTTTTCCACTTGGTGTTCCCTACCACTTGCTCCCCAGACTGTATTATACTTTGTGCTTTCTCCTGGCAATCTTTCGCTTTCTTCTTGTGTTTCTTTCATTCTGCATGCTGTAAGCCAACTAGAACTCAATTTAAATGTAGAATAAGCTGAAAAAATAATTTTCCTTTTAAATCTAATATCCTGCTGGCATGGTCCTAAATACTCTTAAAGTGAGTCTTGCAGCTTTTCTTAAGCAGGCAGAAAGAATGTTGTTTCCCTCTTTTCACTTTTTCCTTGTTTATGGGGAAGGGGCACCTTTTGTGTGCTCAAAGATCACTGTCTAGTTTATTTTGCAATAGCATTCTTATGTTTTCAGATCCTGCTGCTTCAGCTTTTTAGAAAAGACATTTAAATATAAAATCTTTGAAATAAGGGCTTTTAGAAGAGTTTAAGTTTCAGGGCTTGGAAAGGGGTGGGAGTGGAAAGAAAACAGGTAAGAGAATGTGTAAGGATTTGAAGTAGTACTTACACAAAATGGACAAAAAAGGAATTCAAACTTTTATGCATAACTTTAAAAAGTCAGTTATTTGAAGTAAGAATTGCTTTTCGGGCTCTGGCTTGCTTTCCTATTGGCAGAAGCAGTAAGAGGGAAAGCCAGGGTCACAGTGCTGTAGTGAAGGACTAAGTTGATGAGTAAAAAGACTTATGATTTGTGTAGTAATTTCCAAGAAAAGCAGAATTAATCCCTGAAAATGATTGCTTTAAGGAGCTGTTAGCTGTTCAGACTAGTCAGACGATAGGGGGTAGCATTTCCTAAAATACACATGGTTCCCTTGGCAGAGAGAGATTTCTGGGGATGATGGAGCACAGTTGTTTCCTTCACTGCATCACAATACTGATTGTAGACTATGCTGTCTGGGAAAGACAACCTCCTGAAGGAGGTAACTTCCTGAATTTCTGAGATGTGGGTTTGTATATTATTTTTATGTAGGCATTCTTTGGGTTTGGAGTCATTATTTTGTATCAATTGAAAATACTTCTCTATATTTAATATTACTTATTTGAGCATTGAATAATGAAATTCCATCTTCAGTTTCATCAGTATGACTCCAATACTCCCAACTTTGTTGTACATTTTTTCTGACTTTCGTACTGACATGATTTGTTTAAACTGCAAACTAATTCAGTGACTTGACCTTACTGGAAACTAAATAAGCAAAACATCTTTTATGTAGATCAGCTGCTTACTCCACCATTGTCCAGTGGCCTCGAATGCTACTGAAAGTCCTAGTTCCTTCAAATACAGTCACTTTCCTGAAGAAGATAAACAGCATTTATTTTGAATAGTTTATGTAGTCCTAAAACAATAAAATAGTGAAATTACAGGATTTTGAATATTTTAAATTAAATTATTCTGTTGATGCTGTCTGAACACAATTGCAAGCATCGTGCTAAAATAAATTCAGATGAAATTGTTTTAATGGAAATGTTTCATTCTTTGAACTTCATTTATGCTTCTCCTTAAAAGATTCGTTGGTAAAGTCTAACTAAATTGTGTTGCTAAAAGGGAGCAACTGGTAGTCTTGCTATCTCCGGACCTTTAATTGTTAAGGCATCTTCTGATGTACCTGCACTGTACTGAGCACTGTATAAATTGCATCGTTTCTAGATCACAGAGGTTTTTTCCCTCTGAGGTATTGCTTGCCAAGCTAAAGGCAAACATTGTCCTTTTCTCTTGTTAATCCCATACTTCAAAGAGTTGAAGGTTCTTTCCAGTCTATCAATTAAATACAGAGTTTTTCCATTGTGGAAAAAAATGTAACAGGGCTGTTTCAAAAGCCTGTTGCCAGTAATGAGTTTTGGATTTGGTCCATGGAGAGGTAATCTGGATAGCTACCACCACAAGTCATCTCTGGGAAGTTGCTGATTGTAGGCATGGCTTTTTTTCTTGAAGGGTTGTTCTGCCAAGATGCAAAAAGTGCTTGTTGCAAGTGATTCTTGGCACCACCCTGGACAATATTAATCCTGCCTGTTATGGTCAACATGCCACATTGACTGTGTTTCTATTATTTGGTTTTTTTGTTATGAGGAAAAGGACAGTTTTTGTTATCATGTTTCTAAACTTTTGCTTTGGTTTGTTTGGATTTTTAAGCTACATTTTTGGTTATGTAGTCCTTCAAGGTAACCATCAAACATCCATTACATTTGGTAATATAGGGAGTAACCGTGGGAAGAAAGGAAAAATGTATGGGAGTACTCAGGCAGAGCTGTTGCTTGTACTGAGATTGCAACCTGAACTTGAGATTTACAAGTGAAATATTAGAAAAATATTGTATTAAAAGTTTCAAAGAGCTGCTGGTGAGGGAAATGAGAGGTGAAAGGGGACAAGAGGTAATTGACTTGTCATCCAAATGATGAAAAGTAATGTTGATTTTAAGTGTAAACACTTCCTTGATTATGCAGTGAAAGAAAGCTGTAATTTCCCTTAATGCTTGTACAGAAGTCAAGTTCTGTTTTATGCAGTAAATCTCACTGTCACTGATTCTAATTCAGGACAGGAGAATTTAAAAATCTATGACAAGCTATTCTACTTTGAAGACCTCTACCAAAATTGAAAAAGAAAAAAGTGTTTGCTTTGAATGAAGAAAAAGAAAACCACATTATGTGGACTTCAATCATAATTGCCCTAAAATGAGAGACGGAGTTCTAGATCTGAGTTTTCTCTGTGCTGTGATTGAGATAAAACATGTTAAAGTGACTGTCCTTCTGCAAAATGCAAACAGGTGTGGAACATCTGCAGTACAAATATTCATTCATATGCAAACAAATGTTTTAACAGCTTAAAAATACATTAGCTGAAAATCTGATCAAACACTTTGTTTGATTCAGGTTTTATTCAAAATCAGGTTCAGTTTTAAAAAAAACTTTCTAAGTAAACTGATTTAATCAAATAGAATGCCAAAGCTGAAGTTTCTGTTACTCTTGTGAAGATTTTGGTTCTTGTCAGTTCTGGGTTCCATCCAAGACCTACTTAGCTATAGTTAAGCTGTTGTTTCCTTGTTTTTGACCTTTGGTTTTAAGGATGTTAGCATGAATTAAATGAAAACATGCTTTTCTAGCAAACACTTTATAGAATAAACAAACTTCAGCTGAGCAGTGCAGTCTATAACTACAAAACTGAGGTCTTGCTTATTTTAAATAGTGTAATATGATAGCTAAATTATACCTTATGTAACTCTTCAAAAAGGAGAAAAGAGTGAGGCTGTATTGCATAAGTCATATGTTAGCAATGCTGACTCTACTTTACAAGAAGATCCAGTTTTATTCCTGCTTAAGTTAATAGGGGATTTTTGTTTGCTGCCTTGGTGCTGTTACTAAATTGTTAAAATAATACTGCAGAGAGCTGGGCTCTAATCCTGGTTTTAGAGAGACTCCCTGCTTTCTCCATAAAAAGGATGACCTCTGTGAAGACAGAACCCCATGTTGTTCATCAATTGCAATAAAGCATGTTTTTTAAAATGATGCCCTCTCAAGCTGGTTTGTCTCATTGTGTTCCAGCTTTTCCTGTGATTTAGATTGCATTACCTGCTTGTTTTGCTAGGGGAGCAGAAAGGATGTTACAGACCTAATGCAGGGTTATTGTAAAGGCTGCTGAGAGCTCCTCCTTGTGTTTCTGTTGTGATGCTGTGTCCTCCAGGGGATGAGAAGAGGGCATACAGAACTTGTAGTGGTTTAGAGTGTGTGCTTGTAGGGCAGCCACAGTTTGTACTGGCCAGCTGAGGGAGTGAGATCTGCCCTGTTCTGGCCCCATGGAAATTGGCTCCAAGCCATCCTCACCCCGCTTTGAGACCCTGGGTATATTTTTAGCTATGGGAGTGTCCAGCTGACCTTGTTTCATTATTCAGTTTATAAGGAATACATTGGGTATTGTCATCAACCAAGGATTTCTGGGCTTTCCATCATCTGAAGGCTGAATTTCTCCAGTTGTTTCTGTATAGCCTGCAGCATCTGCTGGCTCAGGTGTTTTGAAAAAGTGCTGCTAAAATAACTCAGCTCTGATGGGCAAAGAATAGGTTGATGTTGACAAATGAAATAATTTCAGGATCTGTGAAATTTATGTTGTGTAGCTTGGCTAGAAATATTTGGCTCTGTATAGCTATGAGCTTTGTAGATAGTTGAACTTTGTGCAACTTGCCTGTCTTGCAAAGTTGTTGAAGGACATTGGGATGCCACCAGATTTTATGCTTAGTTCACAAAGTACAGATATGCACAGTGGTAATTTTTTTTCTTGTATGTG